CCGTCTATAAAAATCTCACCGCTGATATCCATGATATCAGTCGGGGCGCTGGAGTGCCAGGTGACCTGTCAGGAGCCTTCGGCTGGGGGGGGGGGGGGGCCAACCCCTGGGCGAGGGAAGCCGCCGCTGGTAACAGCGAAGAATAAGTTGCGATCCTTGACGAGCCGCTCGACGTCAGCAAGGGCCCCCGGTTTCGCGAGTTCTTCTCTCTCTTGCTGCAGGCACGGGCACTTCCAGATACGATGAAAAAGCGTGTCAGGGCTGCCGCGTCCAAGAAGGCAGTCTGGAAGGTAGTCGTATCCTTTGCCTCTGGCACACTGTCTGGCCCAGATCGCACCACATGCTGCTGCCCGGAGGGTGCCCTTCTCAAGGGCCGCGTATTTGTTGGAACGCAGGCGCTTGGCTAAGATGTCGTAGCACACTCGTCCTGGGAATGAATGTGTTCTCCCCGATGTCCTTTTCCAGACGTCGAAAAACTGCGCCCTTCAGGAGATGCTTGAGGAGCCCGGGGGCATTGAGGGCAAGGGAGAAGGGGCCCCCTTGGTCCGTGACCAGAGCGGCACAATTGCCCATCCCCCATCCGAGCCTCTCGAGGCTCTTTCTCATGGCCGAGACAGGGCCACTGACGCTACGCCACGTTTTCGAAGGGTTCTGCCAAACCCTCTCCCAAGCGGCACGCAGAGTGGCGAAAGACAAAATAGAATGGTGGACGCGCACATGGGCACGCCACACTTCTTTGTGCCATCTGATTATCGGCGCGACTTGCACCCCCAGGCGGGGTCTTGTTCGAGCAAGGAGGATGGAGAGCGATCGGTCTCCAGCGGCAGGTTTCAACACTGACGCGAACGATCGCCGCAACGAAAGGGGTTCCCCGTCAGACACACCGCGGATCTCGGCCCCATAAGTATCCGCGGGAAGGGGCCTGGCAACCCAAATGTCGCGGGCTCTACGGCCGATGGTCCTCTGGGGCCCCCCCGCGCGTTTCGCTCGAGCATCTGCTTTCTTCTTGCGGGTTTTAGCTTTTGATCCCCGCCCCCGGCGTCGGAGAGGCAGCCCCGCGGCGTCGTCGACACCGAGACTAGCAGCGGCAGCGCGGAGAGGGCCGGCGGGGGGCGCCCCGAGCTCCGTCTGGGCGCCCAGGCCGAGGTTCTTTTTGGAGCATAAAAGCACGGCCTTGTCCTCGGCAAGCTGGGCTCCTATGTCCTCAGAAACCACGCGGCGCAACTGTCGACCCCCGTCTACAACGCTATATTGGACCGACTGATAACCCCCCACCGAGCGCAGACCGTCGTTGTCAATATATAAACTATAACTAAGACATGGGGGCCCACGAGACACTGTCGAGGCCGTCCAAAGAGTTGTTCCCAATGAACGCGGTCGCGAAAGGGCGCCCCGCGACCACGCCATACAGGGCGTAAAACGCGGGGGGGATAAAGCCCCAGAGAGAAATATATCGCGGGCCTCTGCAGGCAAACCGAGCGAGTCGAGCAACGCCGAAGGGGGGAGTTGTGTTTCGCACATCTGGCCCCCGCCTGCGCGATGCACATGCTTTCGTAATACTTGTGGGAATCCCATAAGAGCGCGCACGCGCACTGTTCAGCAACGCGCCACTCTCTGACTGGAGGGCCTGCCGCCAGACAGCGTCGGCCGCCCCCGTGAATTTGCCCGCCGCGAACCATGGTCGCGGGTGATCCGCTTCCCACTGGGGCGCAAACGGGCGCCTCAACTTCCCACGTATACGATATGGCCCAGTGAACACCCCTATGGGGCGACCCCCCCCCCCCCCCCCCCCCCACACACACACACACACACACCACCCCCACCCACTGGCTTGGGGAGGAGGCGAGAAATAATGATGCGAAGTTTTTTTTTTGGGGGGGGGGCACTTATTTCACGCGCCTGAAAAATCCCCAAAAAGCAACGCAGCGAGTCATCGCACTGCCAAGAAAAATGCTGCACGTGGAATCCGTCCGCGCCCACAGCGGTAGCCTTCTTATGTTTACGGCTCAGCCGTCGAAGCTCATCGACGGAAGGGGCCGGGAGTTCCGGAGCTGGAACAAAATCGCCTGGCGGGTCGGGCGGCCCCAGAGAAGCCTTCCACAAGGCCTGGAATTTGGCGGACTCGGACCGAGGGATGCTTTGCGGATCGCTGACGGTGGACTCGTCGCCCGCGACGACCGCGGCGGCACTCCAGGGTCTCGGGGCCGAGGTGGCCAAGCGGACTCGTTTAGCACCCTTTTCGGTCCCAGTCTTAACCCACTCGGTCCACCCTGACCTCGCAGCCGCGCGGGCGAGAGCGCTGACTCTCTCAACCTCGGCCTGGAGCTGCTCCTGGACAGCGGCGCCCCGGGCGGGTTCAGCGTTGTCGCCGATGCAACGCATCACTTGGTCGAAGATGGCGGCCGAGTCGCCTTTGCCCTTAGCAACCGCCGCTGGGAGTCAAAAATGCGAGCCCTTGCTTCCTGCAGCCGGCCTTGGTCTCCCGCCGCGGCTGTCTGGAGCAAGACTTGAAATTTTGGAGTAGCCACCTACACGAGTAGAATTGGGGATACCTCGGAGTCTCCATGTCCATATCGATGACAGATTTCCACACAATTTTGGGCCCCCGGCTCCGGGCACCAATTTTCACGAGGTCAACTCCAGCCGTGGCGACGAGTTCCCGCTCAGCTAAGTCAGCCCAAGTGCCGTAGACTTGTTTCAACAAGGTCTGGGTGGCAAGTCCGCGACCGTCGCGTGCAGCCGCGAGCGCAGCCTCCAGCTGCTGCTGCACCTCAGCGTAAGAAGGTTGCTCCTTAGACGGCCCGATCAGACGATCAGGGGGGATCTTGGGCCGCTTCTGGAACGACATCGCTCTCAGGGTAGCGAGTTGAGGGGGGAAGGTCAAATCCACGGGAGAGCGAGGAGAGAGATCGGCGACCTCGTCGATCGCGGTCGATTTTAGCCCCCTGCTGAGGCCGCTGCTGCAAATAAAAAGTCGTTCACGCGAAGGCCTCCAGTCGTGGCGCAGGTGCCCAGCGCATCTGGAAAAAGAAGAACTCCCTGGCATTGTTGCAGGATGCTGGAGGTCTGGATGGCGGCAGGTTCGAGATTGAAATCTCCCCCAATAGCAACGGCAATCCGTATGCCGAACAAAATTCACCCGAAGCTGCCAGAACCTGAGCATTGCCGTCGTCTAAACCGCAGCCATGCTCGAGGTAGATGCTGGAGACGGCGATGCTGGTGCCTCCGGGGATCTGCACGATAGCGCCTATGGCACGACCCTCGTGGAGTTGATGATGTCCAGACCCATGCAGTCCCAGGAAGCTTCTGGCCAGGATGGCAACTCCTCCTTTGGTCCCAGACGCGCTGTCCCCCTCCAGAGCTGGCACCCACAGAGACTTCCACCCTCGCCGAAGGGCCCAAGATGAGGCCTGATCTAAGTCCTCCTGGGACCTTAGGTGGTGCTTCTGCAGAAAAATGACGTGAACGCTACAGTGATCACGGAGCCAAGTCTCAGCAGAGCCCAAACAAGTGACGTTGGCTGTGCTAATACGGAGAGAAAAATATTCCGCCTTGGGCTGGTCGTGAGTAATGAATTCTGCGCCTCTTGAGGTCTGGATGGGATCTTGGGAGCCGGGGGCAAAAATGGCGCGGGCCCGTGCCGAGACAGAGGCCAACCCTCGAGCCTGGTGTGCCTGCGGCAGGGGCGGGGGCGGCTGAGCTTGCGGTTCCTCCAGAACCTGTACAGGCTGGGGGTGGCTCTGAATCGGGGGCCCTTGCACTCCCCTCGGCTCCTCCCCCTGCCTCGGCACCTTCCTCGGTGCGTCGCTTTTTCTTGGCCAGCCTAGCGAAAAGCTCTCGATGTTCTTGCTTGAGTGCCTCTGCTTTGGCAGCGGCGGCAGCGAAAAGGGAGCGAGTCTGCTCCTGCAGACCCGCCTTGAGCGAGACGACAAGGGCCTCAGCGGTCTTTTTGTCCTCCTCGCCCATTTCGGCACCCTCGGAGTCACCAACCTGCAGGAAATCGCCGAGCTCGATGGGCAAGTCCTCCAGGGTCCCGTCGAGAATGCTGCGGATGGACAACTTTGGCGCGGCCTGGGCTGTAGGCTGGTGTGGTACGACTGATTGGTGTAGCTGACGCACGAGTGATTTGTGTTTTTCATCAAAGTCTGCCAGTTCCTGGGCAAGGCGCTCCACTTCAACTCTCTGCTTTTCCAGAGCGGCCTCCATTGTGTCGAACTGTTGAACGGCACGAGTGAGGCGGCTCCCGGCGGCTCGAAGCTGGTGGAAAGCCTTGGAGATTTGCTGCTGTACTCGTAGATCGGCAATGGTGTGCTTCCGACGTGCGAGAGCATCTTTATATTTTTTCGCCCCGTCGGTGTCGCCGCACTTTGTGAGTGTCTCGATGAGTTTCTCCAAGTCCTCGTTGGACATGGTTGTGGGCACAGCGTCGACGGAGGGATCTCCAGTGCCATTCTTGCCACCAGAGCCGCGGCCAGCACGAGGGCCAGCAGCATTCCCTGTAGACCACGTGCTGGGCGGAGGATGCTGCCGAGCCCCGAACGGCGACGACTGCGCGCCGAAGGTGGGGTCAACACGAGCACTGCCACAGTGCTTGCACGCGATGTAGCTGGGGTCGTTACGCTTGCAGGGGCAGAACGCACATGCCCATTGCCCCACAGAAGGCGGGGGTTTGGGTGGACGGGCGGCTGCACCTTTGCCGAAGAAGAGCGGCCCCGAGATGAGCGGCGTGAAGGGCGACGTAGCAAGTTGCGCATGTGAGAAATTGTTCCCACCGCCGCCCTTGCGTCCACTGCCTCCGACTTGTTGCCACTGCGCGGGAGCCATGGCTGCGACTTGGAGAGATACGTACTGCTGAAAGCTCAAGCTGGTGGGGTCGCGGACCCCAGGCCAGTGAGTCTCAAAAGGTGTCTGAACAAACACGCCACAATTGCTTGAGCGAGGTTGGAAGTTCAGGAGCAGGCCCTTGAGCCAAAATGGCTACGGAGGAGGAGGAGGAGGAGGGGGACGCGCAGGGATGAAGCTAGGCCGGAATAGCAGCAGATCACCCCGCGAAATGGCTGAGTGCCGCGAGACATGTCAGAACATCGTTAAAACGGATGATGCTGTGTGCATGTACACTGCAACCAGCGACGGGTCGGCACGACCACCAAATGCACTGTAGCTGAGGATTCCCTGACTGCCCGAGCAAGGGGCGCAGTTCCGCACTACAGCACATTATTCTCTCGGCTTCAAACACAAACTGCATGGAATCTCGGCTTGGCCTTACCGGCGGTATCAAAACGTGTGGCGGATCACGCACATGCAGATATGGTGCGACATCGAAGAACTGCGCAAAACGACGAGAACCACGACAACGACACGGCGACGACACGACGACGACAGCGAAGGCGGAGTTGTTTGACAGCAACGGCCTTCTGGACCTACCTAGGGATGACTACTGAGACCCTGTCTGATGTCACCTGGGGTTCACCAGGCTGGGCCTCCTGCAAAACTTTCCTCAGTCAGAGGGCTCCCCTCTGGAGCCGACACGTGACGGAGGGAGGGAGAAAAGGAAAACTGGGCAACCAACTCGGCGGCAGCGATGCCGAGGGCAGCAAACATATACACACACAAGCGACGAAAGGTCTTACGCGAGAAGACGAAGCGACCTCACGCCGCGGCTTACGCGGGCCGCCAGCGTGGCGCACCGCCTGAAGAAGAGGGCGTTACGCGCGACCTTGCGCGGGAAGCTTACGCGCGAATGCCCGCGCAATCAACCCATTGCCTTCCGTCGCTCACACGCCTGTCAACTACACTAGTGCGAGGCCCACGCCTCTGGCGCTCAGTCCCGCCGACTGGCGCCGTGCTCGGACGAGGGCTGCGCCAACTACCGCCCGCGGCAATGACCGCTCTGATCAGGCGTCGCCCGCGAAGGGCAGCTGTGCGGCGCGGAGATTACCTGGCGAACGCCGAGCAGCGGCCCATGATCAGGGGCCCGTGCCGCCGCTTGGAGCGCCCTGCCGTCGTGCTGCCCACCACGGTGCTCTCCAAGTTCCTCAGGTTCGCCTCCAGGCCCTGGATGTGCGCCACCGACACCACCGCAGTCTTGTTGCGAGCCTTCATGTCGCTGTACTTATTGAAGCAGTAGCCGTGGCACGCGAGCATACACCTGTTCGCCAACTCCTCGCTCACGAAATTCACGAAGGCATGATGCTGAAAAAGATCAAGGGCTTCCTGACCAAGACGGCAGAGATTAGCTCCAGGAGCTTGCCCAGCGATGAACATCAGCCGGGTTACGTAGGATTCCACAGGCACCACAGTCGGCCAAGTGATCCGCACGCTCGTTCAAAAATTGCCCAGTGTGGCTCTCCACCTTCCTGAAGACAACATGACGAGCAACTTGATCATAGAGATGGCGAAGCCGCAGAACAAGCTGAAGATTCGCCCGCCCTCGGAGGTGCCGCTGCGCCACGCCAGCCGCGCACTCCGAGTCATACTCGATGACAAACGATGGTGGAGAAGGTGATGATGCAATGAAATCAACCACCCATGACAGAGAGAAAAATAACGCTGATAATTCACCAACATTGTTAGTATGACGTTGAGCACCGATGTAACCCGGTTGGTCGGGAACCAAGACGGAAGGGCCACAGAAATCCAGTAAGCCGGTCGAAGCCGGCATGGCCACTGTGAAGCCCCAGCCAGAAGTCGTTGCCTCGTCGGACACCTGCGCGGAGCCGTCGCAGGAGAGCGCGATGATGTCCGGCGCCTGGAATGAACCAGGAGCAGGCTGAGGAGGCAGGTGGAGTCCTCGAGGTGCTCCTCCGCCTCCACCTCCTCCAGGGCCCCGTCCTCCTGCATGGCGTTTGATACGACGAAGAGGAGGTAGAGCAGCACGGTATATATCCTCGGTTGGTTGCGCCCGGGGTTGATCCAGCTCCAGTAGGACTGGTTTGCCCGCGCGGTGGGCCGCCACGGCCAGAGTAGCAATAGCATTCACACGCAGAAGATATTGCGAAACATGTATAGCATTGTGAAGTGTGAGACCAGCAGGAAGGTCAGCTGGGATAAGCCCACAACGTGCAAGGCAAGGAGGAAGACCGGCAGGAAACTGGTTACCAGGAGCTTGTTGATCAAGCCACGCACGAACGTCGCGATTGCAAGGACAATGCCAAAGACGATGTTCGGTAGTTTCCACTGCAGTGCCGCATCGCACACAGAATTCATCGCCCCCGTGGTAAGGGATGCGTGAAATATGAAGCCGCGTCCACAAACCTGCAGAGGTGAGGGCAGGCCCTCCGTAATGTAGTTGTGCAGCGTAAAGATGTTCACGGGCGTCGCGGTTCTCGGTGAGACCGTTGAACAGACCGCCGAAATCTTTGGGCCGCCGTTGTGCTTCGTTGCGAGCCAGGGCAAAACGAAGAAAATCACGTAGGTCATGAAGCCGTGCTTGCACCCGAACTCGTGCACAGAGGCCCGGATAAGCATCCCGACCAGCATCGGCAAGATGTTCAGGCCGTATGGTAAATGCAAACTTGCGCGCACCAGCTTTGAAAGCGGTGGCGGAATACCAGTCGATCTGCAGTGTGGAACACGCACGAGATAGCAGCTTGAGGGGCCCGAAGCGTATCCGGCTACGTTGAGCCCATAGAAACTGCCACTCCGCTGGGTGAAGAATGCCTGCCAGGAGGACACGGTGGAATAACCGAACACTGGTGTAGATAGCCACGCACCCCAAGTGAGTCCTGTGACAACAAGGCCCAAGAAGATGTGCGAGCTCCCTTGAACGGCGCACGGTGCGACCTTCGGGTACATTGCCCATAAGGGCAAGTGCCGCCCAGGAACACGCTTGTCGAAGATCCCGGACGGTATACGCATAGCCTCCGTCACACCAGACAGCAGAAAGGGCATCAGCGACTGCCGCGCCTCGTTGAAAGTACGGCAGAATGCGGGCGACGTGTAGCCGGCTGCGAAGCTGCTGAACGCGGCGACCGGCCACTGGAGCAGAAGTCGGCTCGCCCAGCACCAAGTCGATGCCAAGATACCGAAAACTCGTCCGAAGAGGTATAGCACGAAGACTTATTTCAGAACGTCGGGGGGCCCTGCGGCCCGCGGGAACGACGAAGCCGCGAGCACACTTGGGTAAGTTGAGATCAGGTCCAATCGCCAGGTCGATTTGCTGGGTAGCCTCGAGCACGCGTGCCATCTGCTGCCATGACGTGACCAGAACGAACCTGTCGTCAAGGTACGAGAAGTGCCTGGCCGACGGCACCGCCTGGGACACTGTCAGGTGCCACATGATGGACGTCAGGTTGCACAAGAAGCACGCCATCGGGCATCCCTGGGGAACGCCCACCAGGCCGGAGCCCTTGAGGAGGACATCAGTGGGCTGGTTGTCAACAAAGAGGATGCGCTCGAGCTTCTGGTAATTGCGGAGAACGTGGCCGCAAACTGGTAGCCCGAGATGCTCGGTGAGCCGCAACAAGTTCGTAAGATCCAATCGGTCATAACATTTTTCCAAATCCATGGAGAGAACATATGCAGGTGGTACTCGACCCACGCGGGCTTGGGCAAGATGCGCTTGAAGCTCCCACAGCACGTCCGGGCAGGAGTGGCGCGGCACCGCCCCCACGAGGCCAGCAGGCTTCCACGCCATCAGCCAGGTAGTGAGAGCCGCCGTGTGCCGGCGAGTCCAAAGCCGGTACGTCACTGGTAATACCGTAAGCGGCCGGCGCTCGTCAGGAGGCGCGTCGGGGCCTTTCGGTATGAGGGTCACGCGGGCCATGCTCCAGAAGTGCGGCAGGCGGCCCTGGTCCGCAGCCGTCAGCAGCTGTGCAAGACGCTCCAGAGAATCGCGATGAAGGTGTTCCACCCATTTGGCGGCGTGGCCTTCGATCCCGCTCGCGCCGTCGGGAAGAAACTCGAGGACGTGCTCTGCCTGCCAAGGCCCAGGAGCACGAAAAGCAGGTACAGCTGGCAGGATAGACAAGTCGAAGGGCCGCCGTCGAAGTGGTGCGGCCGGCAGCACGTGCTGTCGAAGCAATGCCGGGTTCAGAGGTGCACGCACGAAATCGACGCACAATCCAGGCAGATGAGATAGCTGAAAAACTCCTGTGTTCCAGCGGTTGGCCAAAGAGGTGCTGAGCTTACGAGCCAGCTCTCGTGGAGACATGGTCTCTGTCCCAAATGCAGGCAAAACGGCCTCTTGCAGATCCTGCAGGCGACGTTTGACCCACTTCGCTGCCCCGCCTCGCGTGGCGACTCGCTGTCGCCAGGACTGGAGGCGCTGGCTCGTGGCGTCATCGATGATGGTAGTAATCATACCAATAGTGTGCTCAGCAGCATCGTGGTCACCTCGGTGGAGTTCACGACGTGCCTGCTTCCACAGATTGTGAACATCTTGGGCATGCGGCCCAGCAGCCCAGCCGCCGCCGGCCCTCTGGCGGAGGACCCGTGCGTCGGGCGCGCCGGAAGCAGCAGCCCAAGTCGCCCATGCTTTGTCGATGTCGACGGCGATGTCGATGTCAAACTGGCGCTTGGCCTCGGCGGTCCACGCCCCGCAGTCGACCGGCTCGTCCACGGACCAACGCAGAGCTTCGTGGAACTCGGGGACAAGGGCCGCCTGAATAAGAACAGGTCGATGCTGTGAAGCTTCCACGCGCGACAGTGCAGTGGCCGTAGCCGCCGCCATCAAATCAGAAGAAAAGACAACCCCATCAATCGTTGAAGCATTGCGATCAGGATCAGCAGCGTTAAGACAGTATGTGTAATCCCCAGGGAAGATTGGAACCCGGTGCTCCTCCAGGTCGAAGGCGGGGAGCTCGTTGAAGTCCCCCACGTCGATGGCCAGGCGCGCTGGTTCTCGAAAAACTTGCGAATCGAAGCGTGCCCTTTCAGAAGCGGAGCCCGAATGAGCATGCCGGTGGCGTATAAGAAGACGAGCTTGTCCCACCTGCATCGCCAGCCTCTGGACGCGAAAGCCCGCGTCCGCCGGAGCAGCAGCAATAGGTGCAACGTTGAGCCCGTCTCGAACGATGGTGCACAAGCCGCCTCGGCCAACAAATACATGATAACCGATGGCCTGTAGATCAGCTCGTAAAATGTGCCGCTGGCCATGTGGAAGGGCACACTCTTGTAGAAAGCAGATATGAGGAGAATGAGCAGCAAGCAACAGAAGAAGCCCTGCTCGACGCTTGGTGTAGCTCCCGATGTTGTATGTGAGGAGCCGGAGGTCCCGGAGGACCTCAGCAGACAAGCGTCCCGCGGCGCAGCCTGGCGAGAAGGCGGAAGCGCTCGCGCTTGCGCTGCGCCGCCTGCTCCGTGCGCTGTTTCTTGGCGGTCGTGAGAATGTCGCTGATGAAGGCCAGCCGCTGAGCCCTGGACAGTGCGCCGGCTGCCTGCCGGGCGTCCTCCGGAGCACAGCCGCATAGGAGGTCGGTCTTGGGAACGAACTCCAAGGACTTGGCTTGCCATCCGCAGGCGGTGCACTCGAAGCCGGCAGAGTCGCCCTCCTTGACTGTCAGACGGCAGGCCCAGGGCGGAAGCTGGGAGCAGATGGAGGTGGCCATAGCCTTGCGCGCGGCACGCCGCGTCGCCAGGCGCCTCGTGATAGCGGCAGGGTCCCTGCCAACGTCCCTCACACAATTACGGCCCTTGCCAGCTGACAGAATGGCTCGGCCGGCAGCCCCGTGGCTGAGCAGATGGCGACGACGAGCGTGTTCGCAATCAGAAACGTGATCTGGGATCCTGTACGGACACAGCGTGCACTGCCAGCCCTTCCAATGAGTAGAATAAAGCTGCAATTGCAAGTCCCGTGCACGATCAACTGATGCACCACGTAGCTGTGGAGAAGAGCCAGAAGAATTGCGTCGCGTCAGCGCCAAAGACTCCAAGGTGGCCATACGCTCCGGCGTAGAAGGCGGCGATGCACAAGAACGGCAGGGAGCGTTCGCACAGAAACGCCCGGGCTGCGCCAGTGACGAAGGTAAAGAGGCAGAGCGTGAGCACCTCTGGCATGCAACACCTGTGGATGAAAGCGTTGGCGAGCAGAGCCACGGCAATCCCCGGGCAGCCAGGCGGAACCTCGCAGCACGAGCCTCGGTAGCAGCATCCCAAGTTTTCGAAATTGCTGCTGCTGGACGCTTGCGTGCCGAAGAAGACGAAGATGATGAAGATGATGATGCAATAGCGTTCTGCTTGATCAGTTCCTTCGCGAGAATAGGAGCAAACCGCTTGGAAACTGGAGCATGTTGTGCTACACGTGGTTGTGCTCCGCGTGCGCCGGACGCCGTCCTTGAGGCAGCCGCCGCAGGACGAGCACGCAAGGTCCGCGGGGCCGAACTGGCAGCCGCGAGAGTTCTGGCCGGAGAAGAACAACGGGAAGCTGCTTCACGCTCGGGTGCGTCAGATTGTGTTCTGGCCGAGGGAGCGCCCCCATGACGATATGTCCCTCGATGGTCGGATCCGGCGCCTGCCGAGTCCACCCCAGCAGCCCTCCCCAGAGTCCTGGCCGAAGAGGCCTGGCTGGTAGCCGCCAAAGTCTTGGCAGAAGAGGAACGACAGCTGCGTAACGTGCCCGCCTCCGACTGCGTGCTGCGGCCGCCTCCTTTGAGCGCCCACTCACGTGGTGAAGCCACAGACGGCGAAGAAAGAGATAGGCGATGGTGGTCGTGGATCGAATCCACGTGCTGCTTCCGCGCAGCAACGTGTCCAGGGTCTGCGGTCGGCTCGAGGGGCTCGTAGTGGCCATTGCGGAACAGCAGCCACACCTGGCCCTTCCCCTTGCCAATCTGGACGGTCGGAGCGCCCGGCCGCAGGATGATGATGCTCAGCGCGAACTTGTCAGCGGCAGCGAGGAGGTCCAGCTCCCCAGTCCAAGCATCCGGCTCGCGCATCAGCTGAAGGTACTTGGACCAGGCGGTACAGGCCTTGCCCTTCGGGTCGAGACGGTCCCAAAATGGCTCAAAGATAATGT